AATGGATACAGACACGCCGGACTTCGCAGCTGGCACTGAACAAATTTGAGGATCACGAGGAAAACGATAGGTGTAATTTTGCGGATTCGTATACCCAAATTGAGTTTTGGATTGCATCTGTGCCACGCTTTAGAATATTTCGAAAATATTCATTGCGGATTGCGACTAAGGAACTAAGACTAAGCTAATTTTGTGAGATATTCAACGCCTATGTACGAGATTAGTATTTCAAAACCTTGTTCGAGGCATGTTTAGGTTTCGATTATGCGCAAGTAAAATTTCAGTTTTGATATCAATTTATTTTTAGTAATCAGATTGTGAATGAAACTGAAATAATGTTAGAATGTTTACTGTCCATGCACAAGCCTTGAAGCGTAAAATTAGCTTCAGCTTTCGCGTGTGTTCCGTGCAAGAACGCATCAAAAGTTCGAAAAGCAACATTTTGCCGTCGCTCTTTCGCAGCGATCAGACACCAAAGCATAAATTTTATGAAAACGCTGACGCGCCTCACGCGTCACTAGAAACGTAAAATCAGCTTTTGCTAATGTCCGTACCACACGTGCGGCAAATTGGAGAGCGTGCGCCTTTTTCTGAAAACACCCACATATGAAATTGACGTGCTGAAGGCTGAACGGACGAAACTCTGCGATGTAACACTCTACCACAGCCGTAAGCCGCTGCACCTTCCCTGCCAAACGCAGCAAAATTCCAAAAATACTGCTAACATGTTAAACTTTAAAACAACATTAGTTCATACTGTTGAAGTCTGGCTTTTTCAAGATTTGCGCAAAAACGCATGTCCATACCGGTAACTTTGGAGCACGTTGTTACTGGGTTACGAAATGTTCTATGTAAACTCTCTGACCGTCTCCAAAGAAATGGCGTGATTATGCAAAGGAAACAGGCACGATCTTAAGGAGATAATCCCAAGAAGGATTAGGATAACAATTCTAGCTGAATAATAGCAAGCATCCGAGTTAGCTGAAAGGTATAAAATCCACTCAAACATCGAACCATGCTAATAATATTTAGGATTTTCTATTTCGCAACCTTTCAACTTCGAATCGTTTAAGAATTTAAAAAAAAAATTATGTTTGAAAAACTTACCAGTTCACGCAGGGAATTTGAAAGCTGTCGAATTTCTCGAGGAATGCATTCCAGCCGATTACCCGCCAGTAGTAGAATTTGAAGAGGCACAGAAAACAGAGCTGCTGGAACCGTCGTTAACTGGTTAGCGCTGAAACTGAGTGTTTTTTATGCGGAATTTTTGTTGTAGAATACTAGTGCCCTTCTAATGCTATGCACGAAATGTAATAAAATGTTTTTATAATAACGTTTCGTGTAGGTGAAGCTCTTAGTCGATAAAACATTTCATCGCAACATAGAAACAGCGGCATTAAGTGATGCCGTTCAACATACAAAGAATGGCCAAAGAATTGCCTTGTGCTTCTACAGTTAGAACCACCGAGCTGGTAATCATTTCAAGAAACAAAAACAGGTTTGCCAGCAAACTGACCATCAAAGCGTGCAGCACATCTAGAGCAGCTGGAAAAGCTGCCAGCTGCTAGGTTGGGAACAACATCATGAGCTGGAGAACGACACTTTTCTCGTTGCTGAGTTGAAAGTGGGTGACGAAGTTCATTCGCCTCCGAATTCACACACATACAGACAACCTCGCAGTAATATGCACGAAGACTACTTGTAAACAAAAGGCGAACTCAGAAACTTCATGATCCTTTCAACAGAAGTAGTCAAATCGAAAACGGAAAACAGCTATTCTTAAAATAACTAAAACACCGAATTTTATTTGATGTCTGCAAGGAAGCATCAAGTAATTACTACCTTAAATCCAGATAAGTCAGCGATTGTAGCAGCTGCACGGCACAGGGAATTGAGCGCAGACCCGTACTACGAATTCTCAGTGTTTCCATCGAGCTTAGCTCACATATACAGACAGGTAATTGAACAAAACGATTATCACTGAGATCTGGAAATATTATTATTATCGATAAGAGTGGAATTTAGCCTGCCTGTGACATTTAATAAATTAAACTTTCTTATTGTTTGCGTTACAAGCGATATCTGATTTTCGTTATTTTAAAAAGGCACCAACAGTTTCACAATTCGAAGTTTCATTTGCTCGTACACTCGGCCTGAACGTGTTTCGAAGCTAAACTTAGATCATGGTTTCCTAGCTTGTCTGATTCCCGAAATCACTCCCCGCCAAAGGTCTTTTTGACGTGCCCGCATGTGTGACGTAGGCGCGCGTAACAATTGAGTTTAAAATTTTTCGCACATAAATAGTGAACGTTATTTTGAAGTCCCAGCTGTTTATTTTGAAGTATCTGTTTTCCGAAATCGACTTCCCACCAAAATGTTTTCACATTTTCTATCCGGGGTCCTATGTATTGGCGTTTTTGAGAGCTAACTTTGTGCTTTTTTGAGATTCACAGAGACCGGGCCCATTTCCGCAGTATTTTAGCTCCTCAGTTTCTCTGGTTGACGAGTTTAAAGCCAGTAACAGAATTCAAGCACACTCACTAGTCACAGATACACAAAACAAAGTTGCATACGAAACTTGTCATCTACGTATATTTTATGAGTATGATAGTTATTTATAATAATCATGATGATAATAATAGCAATAATAATGATAATTAACAGTAATAATACTGAATAATTACAGGAATTGTTCGCTAAAATGACCAAAACCGTAAACTTTATGATCATGTTACCAAAGACGCATCCACACGCTTAGTGCAGATGCGCCAATCTTCCCAGTGGGACTGCATTTCTCCGTTTGTTACCGACCACCTGTTCGACTCACACCGCACTTCACTTGTGGAGGTTGCCTGAGTGACCATTAACTTCCTCAACAGCACCACACAGTAATTTGCAGTTGCCCACCAACTGTTAACAAGGCAAGTAACTTTCCGATCAGGGGATTTAGTTTTACAGCAATTTCTACTTTATCTCTTATCTGACGGAATGTCAAATGACTTAAACAGTCATATAAGTAAAACTACTACCGTCTTTTTTAGCTTTAAACGGTTAATGCTATTTGCAAGTCTGCAACAAGGAAAATTTTTGAACACTTTTACAAATGTTTCGTTTTTTTGTGTCAGAAAAAATAATCCAGGAATGACAAATGTTCCTCTTTTCGAAAATCTCCTTTGTCGCAAAAGCAGCGCAGCAGCTGCCTTCTTTTTGTTCGGAAACAATCAATTTTAAAATTTCTTATGAGTAGTGGTAGATTAAAATAGCAACCACAGGAGTTTTGTAACCAAGCGCTGTAACGCAGTGTCCATTCCCGAAACGTATACCCAGGCAAACGGCAAACAGCGAGTCACGCTAGCCATGCCTGGGCATACTTTTCGGGATTGGCCACGCAATTGCCAGACACGGATAAATGAAATATACCCCAGGAAAATGAGCATTTTTGCGCTAAACTTGCAGAAATCAGATCGCCAACAGCAAAAACGATTATTGCGTTACGGTTTATACGTGAGGACAGTTCCTGCATTATGGTTTACACGTGGAAACATGACGGTTGTATTTTGGCCTTTTTTTGCATGCAGAAGGGAAGAGGGTGTCGGATAGGATGGTGGCGCTACACCATGGGTTACGTGAACCTTTAACGTGCATGATTATCAATTTGGCATAAAGAGAAATAAGTATTTTCTGGTAATTGATTGTTCTTCGAAAAATGCAAATTTAAGGATGAAGATTATGTTGGAAGAGAATGATGATCCGTAAAATGCATTCGTTCCTAAGTCAGCGGTAAAGCTGAATACTTGTCGTTTTCGCTTGCGAGGAATTTTGTGTCTAAACTACATCTGGACCGCATGTGAATATAGAATTTTTATCTGCCGTTCGACTCCGAAAACATCCGCTAATGCCATTAAGGATCATGAGAACAGGAGCTCAAATCTATTTCTGCAATTCAAACGGAAATACATTAATATTCCTGTATCTAGACATGGAAGTAAACACTCACTTTAGGGTATTTAGGGCGGTTACGCAAATGAAACGGCGATGCTGAGCTAGCAGCTTATTAAATGCTTTACCCAGTGCTTCAACCACTGCTCTACCCCCCTCCCCTTCAGGCTTATCAAACAGGTGTAGTGTTTAACTGCTAAGCTAACATGGATGTTCACCATCATCTGTTACGGTAATTTGCCCTCTCAATCTTTAACATCGAACTCGTTATATTTCGGTTACCTTCTCAATCTCTGTTTCTCCTTCAAAAATACACTGCAGAAGTGAAACAGTGCCCTCTCAATCTCTGCCACAGATCGCATTATATTTCCGTCGCATTCTCAATCTCTACCGTTCTCTCTTCTTTTACATCGCAGTCATGGAAGAGAAGCTGAGATTGAGAAGAGGGCAAAATACAGTGCAATCAGTGGTAGGGATTGAGAGGGCATGCGAAATATCGCAGTAACAGACCAGAGGAGAATTTCCACTCTGGTCCACGAACAACGGCTGAAGGCCGATTTACAAGCATCGTTGGCATATTGTTTTTTCGGTAATAGTTAGTTGGCGACATTTCAAGATTTCGAGAATGGTTCAAGATTTGCTTCTAGTTATTAAAATATGGCAAGTTGAAGTGGAAATCAAACAAAAGAAAAAATGCCTTTTGAGATAACTGAAGGACTACGTTCTGGGTGAAAGTTGGCGCAATTTGGAAGAGCTGAAATCCTTTCGAGTCATTTTTGCCATGTATGAGAAGCTGCATTATGATCAGAGGTGTGAGTTTACTACTTTTTTCAAGACACTGAGAGGAAAATGAGTGCATTTCGGATGAGCAATGCCATAGAAATTGATACTGGGATCGCCTTCAAGTCATTTTCGCCATGCTGCATTATGAGTCAATTAGAACTTTCCACAGATAGTGAATACAGCTGGCCACAGTAACTGAACCCGCATATTCAGGCAAACCCGGCGATCACTGATTTTAGTAATTTAACTAAAAAGATAGATAGAGGACATCATCCGCACCATTCTTTCCCCATTCCCTCACTACATGCTGCTTACATGTTTAACTGAATGCTTTAATTAAACAACGTATTAACCCCATGCTCCAATGCATCACGCTTGCTGGTAAAATCGTGCATTTTTGCGCTAAACTTGCAAATCGTTAACAGCGGAAATGATTCCGCATTGTGGCTTAGAACGTTGATTCATACTGGCTGTGTTTCGGCCTTTTCCCGCATGCAGACGAAATGTTGATGGCTTCCGGGAAGTTTGTAAAAACGCTGTAGAATAAATTCAAGAAAGTGTTTGCCCTGGAATGTGATTCCAACATGTTTGCGACTGTTAAAAGCCCGAAACCTACCAGCAGAAATTATATCCGAAATTTCATATTTCAGTGCGAGCTGTGCAGGAAATTCTTTGAGCTTTCGACCGGCCAACAACAATATGCCACTTAGTTCCGCTTCCTCGAACATTTTGTCCAACGAACGTGTCAGCAACTGATAAAATAAAAATCATTTTCGTCTATTTTAATAGCACCTGAAGTTTTGTTCTGACGATATGGAATTACGTATTTAGCCCTTTGGAAAAAATAACTAAAGAAATTTTTTCGTCAGCGAATGCAAGATTTAGAAAAACTCTAAGCAATTTATGGCCACACTGCAGTGTAATCCTTGTACCATTGGGAAAAGCTGTTGATAAAACATGGTAATTGCACAGCAATTTGAGAAAATTTCAGTCTGCTGCACTGAAATGAATAAGTTACCTGTTGCTGATACGAAGTAGAAGGTATTGTTGCTGGAGCGATGCTGGCTGGCGTAGTTGTGGCTGTTACGCCACCACCACGACGTTTTCGCCAGGAAGATGCCGTCTTGGTAAACAGCTGAAATTTTAAACGTTTTTGTTAATTCTTATTCACAATTCTTGGTGTAAAAATGCAATGCGCAGCACCGAGACCACAAGGATAGGTATAAAAGTTAAAACTTATTTCTTGCTAAGGCAACACAGCGCAGACGCAAAAAATACCCAGTTTTCTTTACTTTTTTTTTGAGTTTATTTAACGGGCAAAAAATTGGTTTTTCAGCAGTTACCTCATAAGTTTAAACTAATATTATTTGAACACGGACTAAATATGATAGGTGTCGTTACTACAGAAGAGTCACCTAAGTGAAGCCATAGCAAAAAGCGATTTCCACCAAATTCAGTGGAACAGAAACAGTGCATTGAGCAACAGGAAGGAAGATTTGGAATGTGTAAAAATTAACGTAACAGCGCGAAATTATCAGACGTTAACAGGCGAAGTGTCGATCATTATGAAGAATGGATACACAATTCCTTGCACTTGCCAGAATTGAAAAGAACGAGCTACAGATACGAAGCTTTAAACTGCAGCGTCTCTAGCATCAAGCAAAACAATTCCTTTCTGCGCCAAAATTGCCCAAATGAAAAACAAAAAATGCAAAATTTGTACCAAGTTTTTCAAACTTCAGCTCAGCAGAGAAACTTAACCGGAAAAGGACAAAAAGTAGAAGGACGCGAAAAAAAACCAGCTGTGAGGGGCTCAGTTTTGTTAAAAGGAGAGAAACCAGGTTA